AGGCACCCCTCAACCAAGAGGGGACAGGAGGTGATGCCTTAAACACTCCCACTTCAATTCCTCTTAGGAGCAGTTCTACCCGGCTCCTGAGAAGGTGACCAGCTCCACAGCGTGCATATACCAGCCTCTCTCCTCCTCTATTTACCTGCCCAGCTTCTCCTCCTCCCCCTGGGATGCCTTTCCAAATTCCCCATCTGTACCAAACCCCAGTCTCAGGCTATGCTTCTCCAACGGGCCCAGGCTTAGACAGGCTGCAAATATCCTGTGAGGAATTTGAACTCTGTCGTGTAGAAAAAGCAAATAAGAGCTTTTCCAGAATTACAGCAACAACAATAACACTCGGATTTGCACAGAGTCACCACGGGGACACCAGCCGTGAGAGGCGAGCATCGCACTGGGGAGAACCACTCAGGACAGGCTCAACCTTGTATGAAGACTTCTGCTGGTAAGTGAGGGCTGGACATTCACTCCTTGGCCTGGCCATGGCCTCTGTTCCAGCACATTGTAGGGAATCATTCCTAGGCAAAGATACCGGGACAGGCCAGCAGATCACATGGTGGAAACAGTGAAATAACCAATGAAAGGACCGGCTTGGATATAAAGATGGGCAACTGGAAAGGAAGAAAATAATTTAGAAGGAAAAACCAACCAAACAAACAAACAAAAATGTGAGTGGGAGAGGAGAGGGGAGAGGTTCTCTGCTGAAACAGTTCATCTGTAAAGGAGGACAGCCTGGTAAGGTTGGAAGGCCTTCAGTCCAGAAAACGTAACTCTCTTTGGTTTGGCAGGAAGAAAGTAGAAACCAAAGAGGGCTTCGGTGCCTGCCCTAAGAAAGCAAGAGGACTTCCCTCCTTCAAAGGCAACCAGTGATACTGGCTCTTGCATCCTTCAAGGGATATTTATGACTTTGCACGAAAAAAATATACGCAAAAACTTTTTTTGGCTGGATGCGGTGGCTCATACCTGTAATCCCAGCTACTTGGGAGGCTGAGATGGGAGGATTGCTTGAGCCCACGAGTTTGAGACTAGCCTGGGCAATAAAGCGAGATCTTGTCTTTAAAAAATAAAGTTTTAAAATAAAAATCAATAAAAATATTTTTTTTCTACTAGTTTACTCAAATAATACTATACTGTACACACCACACTGCCAGGCCCTTTTCCATAAAACAATTCCAGGTGCCCGTTCCATATCAGCCCATATGAGGGTTCTCATTCTTTTCCTGGGGTAATGTGATATTCCTTAACACGGATGTACCATAATTCATTTAAGCAGTCTCAAATTGATGGACATTAAGGTCATTTTCTAATTTTTGCTGCTATAACAAATAGTGAAATGAATAAACTGGTATAACATATTCTTAACGTGCTTTTATTATATCGAGGGCATGGATGATTTTTTCCCCACTAAAACATAGATGCAATTTAATATGACAAACCATATTTATTGAATAAAAATGTATTATCAAAAACACTGTTGTCATATGTATTGGATTTGTAGGGTATACTTTATAAGAAAATACTAGTTATTATAGCTCGTAATAGCAGTTTTCGGTTTGCATGATCTGTTTTCAGAAACAGATCATGTAAATATTGAGTGACTTTTAGCATCACTTGCCTCAGGATGGCCAAAACCAAGGGTGTTCACTCAAAGCACTAACGGCAGTAAGCACAGAACGAGGCACATCTGCTCAGTTGATTTAAGAAGCTTTGAGCCTGGAATCAGGAAGCCTGGGTCTGATTCCTCACCCTGCCACTGTGAGCCTTTCAACAAAATAGGGAGGGTGATTCCTGCCCTATGGACCTGGCAAAGTGGTTCTGAGGGATAAAACAGGAAATTAGTTCACATACGTGAAATGTGTTTAACACTAAATGTCTGAGCTCATGTTAAATCTCCTGTTATTCCTTTGTTGCTTACAGTGCTGTATGTGAAGGTCAGTAGATAATCCGTCTATGGAATAAGTTCTGAAATGCGTTTCATAGAAGAAATGACACTGGACGTGACCATTTTAATTAAATGCACCGAATGGTGGCCCACATATATCATAATGTTTTTAAATCCAGCCAAATAAAGAATCAGTGGGGAGATGGATCACTATTGGCTAACCATCATAACTTTTTTTTTCTGGCTTCCTCCCTTCCTCTCCATCTCATCTACAGTTATTAAAATCCAGTTTACTGCTAACAATCGTGATTGGAGAGAAATCTGGAAGCCATTCAAATTTGATGGAGTAGGTAATCTCTTTTTGCCAACTAACACTGTGTTAGTATTCTTGGATACACAGGTAACATCATCTCTCTGGATTCATTTGGAAATGATCAATAAAACAAACGAGAAAACGAAATTTAAGTTCTTTGGAAACTGAAATGCTGGTGTGTCTGGAATTGAGAAATATTAGGAAACCTGCTCGTTTCACTCATTAAAACCTTCAAGACGTGTCCTTACCACAGCAAACAGGTACCCTCCCCCCACCCACTCTTCTCAGTGAAGCCATTCAAGTTTCTGGTCCCTCTTTTCTAGTCACTGACTCCATGGCAACGGGCCACTGACCTGCCCTTAAGGGAAACAGAATCTCTGGCAAGGCTGAGACTTTTAATAATTCCACTTGTCAACACAGGGCAGAGAGAAACAGATGGATTTGTACCAACTAACTTAACAAACCTACTAACAAAATGAGTAGCTCCCAGCAAGTGACCAGGCCCAGTGTCCACAGTGTCCCCTGGGACAACCAAACATCACATCATTAGTGTCCAAAAAAATCCACACCACTGACACCTGTCCATCAAACTGCTCAGGGAGTGTGGGTGTCTTCCTGCAATATCTTCTTGATTTACCATTTCCCAGGAAGGTAAATGTCTACTGGGTGCCTCATTCAAAGTGATTATTAATTGGATTACTAATTTCCTCCACCATTTATTTTTGACACATAAATACAAAAATATCTGCACAAGAGGGCATATTTTGAGTTACAAGTTTCCTGATAGGAATATTGTCCAGATTTTCATATCAGTTTCTGTTGACCAAACTTCCCTCTCGGGGGAGGACAAGAATCTAGAAATATCACTTTCAATATCCAGGATCTCAACTCAGCCCTAACACAGAAGAGACACTCCTCCTGCTCTCCTTTTCCTTGAGATGTTCGAGTGTGCATCCTGCAGTTTGTAACAGATTGCCTTTTTCGTGGCTTTGCTCTCTGATTCAGAAATATAAACACTGCTTCAGAGTTTTATTTTACAATTCATCTTCTGATTTGTCACGGCTGGGAAGGTCGGCTTTCATATCTTCTATTCTAAATTACTTTGGAAGAGATTTTGCAAACAGACTAAGGAATGGCTTTGGTCTGGACCGGAACAAACTGAAAGTTGGGACTCAAGTCCTCTCTCTCTTTTGTTAACATGTAAACAATCAGAAACCCCACAATTTCCCAAAGCAATTATTTGGAAAATAATAAACAGGTGCTTTGGAGACACTGGGTTATAAAAAGAAAATGGCAAATTATATTTTCACTGGCCCAGCTGCTGCACTGATGTGATTCTGTGGAAGGTTCTCCTAGGATCTGAAGCTCAATCAGCAAATCAACTGAGATCATCCCTGTCTGCGCCAACGGGACCACGGTGCCACCCCGCCCTCCTCCCTCTCAGGGCTTTCTGATGAAGCCCCTCTGCCAATGCCAGTCCCAAGTCCGTCAGCTCGAGGCTCCTTTGCTTCCCATTGACACTGGACGACAGGAGGCCCGTTCCGGTTTAACTAGGATTAGCGACCACTGGAAGGAGCAGTGTGGCAGGGCTGTACCTCCTATTGGCTTATTTCTATGTGTCCCAGCCCTAGTGTGCCTGAGAAGCCGGGCTCAGCACCGACTCTGCAGGGGCTGACTGGCGTGGCTGGCTATCACTTTCCTTCAGTAGGAAACGGATAGGACCAGGCAAAGCAGATGGTCCCTCAAGGGGCACATCCCAAAAAATCTGCTAGCAAACTCTGGTGGTGCCTTTCAAACACACAGTAACTTACTGGAGAGGAAAATCAGATCTCCCCGGCCACCTCCTGCCACAATCCACCCCCGCCTGCATATGTGCCCACTTAGGAGTTTTTTAAATCCTTGGTGAGGCATAATAACTTTGTCTGGGGCAAAGGACAGCCTGTCTTTCTAAGCTTCCTAGAGATAGCCGCGTTCCCATATCTGTCAGTGAAATGCTCCCATATCTGTCAGTGAAACCTGTTATCTAAGTAAGACCACCTTCAAGAGACCTGACCTGTGGATCATGGGCAGTCACCCAGTCCTAAGAGAAGCAAATACAAATATCACATATTTGGCAGGCTGGGTGGAACTACAGATGGAGCCAGTGACACCTCAAATGGCAACTGAAACCGTGTTTCATCATAACACGCTAATGGAGGTTTTTGGGTTTTTTTTCTTTCAAACTCCAAATAAACCCACAAATGACTTGGTAGAAGTCCTAGGTCTGACTGTATGAATTTGAACAAATCATCAAACATTTCTGGGCTTCACCTGTAAAATGAGGGGCCTGGGCTAGAAGATTTTTTATTTATTTATTTATTTTTGAGACGGAGTCTCGCTCTGACACCCAGGTTGGAATGCAGTGGCGCGATCTTGTTCACTGCAAGCTCTGCCTCCCGAGTTCACATCATTCTCCTGCCTCAGCCTCCCGAGTAGCTGGGACTACAGGCACCCGCCACCACGCCCGGCTAATTTTTTGTATTTTTAGTAGAGATGGGGTTTCACCGTGTTAGCCAGGATGGTCTCGATCTCCTGACCTCGTGATCTGCCCGTCTCGGCCTCCCAAAGTGCTGGGATTACAGGCGTGAGCCGCCGCGCCCAGCCTGAACTAGATTTCTAAGGTCCCTTTGGCACTAACATTCTAGACTTCTTTGGGTGAGGGTGGCTCTCCTCCAACATTCCAGCAAATCGCACCTATAGTTAACCCGCCTGTTGACTCGGCATGGACTAAAACGAGAAGGGCTGTTTCCATCACACATAGCTCACCTTGTCCACCGCCGTGTGTTCTTCGTGTGTGACGTTTGTTTTTCTTGGTTCGTTTTTAGACTTGCTCAGCTTTCTGGATACTTTTTCTCTGAGTAGGGTGGCATATCCAATGTGTTCGTAGATGGGGTTAGTTGTCATTTTTGAAATGTACTCGGCAGCTTTTGTTTCTATGTACAGTGTTATCAAGCCATCTGTCACCAGATCGTGAATCGACTCAAACCTCTTCTCGCCCACAAAGTGTTTCCCGTCGTGGAAGAGCCTGTAGTTTAAGGTCTGGTTTCCAAACCTGCCCATGACAGAATGAGGGATTACAACCACGTTAGAAATAAGCACAGTGTGGAATGATAATAACAGCAGCTAACGTTTTTTGAATACTTAGTGTAGCCCAGGCATAGGGCTAAGCATTTGATGTGATTATTTTTTCCCCCTAATGATCATAGAGACCCTTTGAGATGGTATAACGGTTATGCCTGTTTTACCGCAAAGGCAACTGACACTTGAAGAGATGGCGGTTCCTGCTTGAGTTTAGATGCCTGGAACAAGGCAGAGGTGGGGCTTAACCCCAGGCCGTCACATGGAGTCGTTTGATCCTAGAAATCACTAAGGTCATTGTCAGTATCCTTCTCATTTGTAAAAGTCAGAGGGTAATGCCTGATTTACAACTACGTTACTTATAAACTTACTTAATGGGAACCAGCTCTCCTCTATACCTGGCAATTACTCTGCAAGGGATGCCCTGCCCCTCGTCCTGATGCCCCTTTATTATCGCATCTTTGCCACCTCCAGCAGAGCACCCCATGCCTTCCACCCTAGTTGGTGCAACAGAAGGGAAGCAATAAGGTGTGCTAAACTCCCTGCTGGAGCCATTGCCAGCATCCCCACAATCTAATCTATAGGTTCCCTCCTCTCTGAGCCCTGGCCTTTCATCTACAGCCCCTGCTTGACTTCCCACTAGAACTGCCAGCTTCTGCTACTGAAGCGCTGGGAAGATAGGCACACCTACAGCGCCTGATATAATAGCTTTTTAAGTTCATCCTCATAATTACATTATTTAAGATACGTTGTAGACATATTGCAACTTGGAAAGTGTCACTGCACAGCCATAATAGGGAGATGGTGCATGGAACACACCATTGTGGGCCTGGGAAGGGCTCCCACGGACACCATTCCCTCTATGGAGAGAGGGTTTTCCAATTCCGAAGAGTTCACAAACGAACTTTTGAAAGACAATTCAGTTCTGAAATTGGATACCTTCCCCAAAACGTACAGGGCTGCGGCGAGGATCAAATGACAGAAAATATTTGATCAAGGTTTGAAAAGTGCCATAAATGTGCTGTCTTTCCTGTGCTGTGATGTTTAATAGTTGTGATTTTGTGGTAAAGGCTCAGTAGAGCCTGTTCTACTGGCTCGTTGGCCTGAAGGGTCATGACTGCCCTCACGACAGGTTCCTGGGATCAACAAGGTGATCCCTGAGAGAACCCCATGAGCAAATGCAGGTCTTTTGAGGTCTGCACGTGCAAGGCCAGGTGAAGAAGCCCTTCCTTCAACATGGGCTGCTGGGAGCTGAGGCAGAGATGCTGTGGCCTCGGCCAGCTAGATGGTGCAGGCAGAAGTGGCTGTAGAAACACTAGCTTTCCAGATGGTTCTCCAGTTTACTGTGTGACCATACTCAGAGTCCCAGTGTCCACACCTACTGATAGCATCTGTGACTGAGGAAATGTATACAACCTCTGATAGACTGCTGGTACTTCAGAAACAAGTGAAGATACCAAGTAAGGAGTAGGGAGGGTAATTGTTTATGGTAGCGGATTTCTGTTTGGGATGATGAGAAAGTTCTGGAAATGGATATGGAGATGTTTGCACAACATTGAGAATGTACTTAATGCCGCTGAATTTTACTTAAAAATGGTAAAAGGAGGCCGGGCGCGGTGGCTCATGCCTGTAATCCCAGCACTTTGGGAGACCGAGGCGGGTGGATCACAAGGTCAGGAGCTCGAGACCATCCTGGCTAACACGATGAAACCCCGTCTCTACTAAAAATATAAAAAATTAGCCAGGCGTAGTGGTAGGCACATGTAGTCCCAGCTACTCGGGAGGCTGAGGCAGGAGAATGGTGTGAACCCAGGAGGCGGAGCTTGCAGTGAACCAAGACCGCGCCACTGCACTCCAGCTTGGGTGACAGGGCAAGACTCTGTCTCAAAAAAAAAAAAAAAAAGGAAAAAGGAGACCAGATGCAGTGGCTGATGACTGTAATCCCAGGACTCTGGGAGGCTGAGACAGGCAGATGGCTTGAGCCCAGGAGTTCAAGACCAGCCCAGGCAACATGGTGAGACCCCCTTCTCTACAAAAATAAAAAATAAAAATAAAAAAAAGAAAAAAGAAAAAAAATTAGCCAGTCATGGTGGTGTGTGCCTGTGGTCCCAGCTACTCAGGAGGCTAAGGTGGGAGGCACTTGATCCTGGGAGGCAGAGGCTGCAGTGAGCAGTGATTGTACCACTGTACTCCAACGTGGGTGAGAGAGTGGGATCCCCCCCTCATAAAATAAACATGGGAAAAACGATGAATTTTGTGTTATGTATATTCTACTGCAATTCTTAAAAATGGGCAAACATCAGTGAAGCCACTTGTACAGCAATGAAAACAAGGAGTGAAATGCGCCTCACCTGAGAGCCAGCGTGTAGCATCCTGGTTGCCGCTGGCTTTCTCTAAGGATGTAGGCACCCTCCACACCTCCGAGCAGCTCATCCGCCTGCTCCCGAGAGATGATCCCATGAAACCTGAAGGTGCAAGACCATCATTGCTCTGAACAGACCACATACAGAAATAACGACCACAAAGAACTAGCCTTAGAAGGATGGCGGGGGCAGCCAGAATCGACAGCCCCCCAACTGAGTGAAGAGGGGAGTGACTGCTGCACATTTAAGTGACCTGGAACCACCCCTCACACGCTCCAAACACAAGTATTCAAGCAGGCAAACAAAAGGAAGAATGCCCAGTCCACCTGGCTTTCTGCTATTGTCTTTGCTCTCAAGTTGAAAATGAAAGTTGAAACAAAAAGCCAGGTTACTCAACCACCCCCCTGGCCTTTTTTTTAACCATGGGAAATAACAGAAGAGCAATTACCAATTTAGCTCTCAGCTCAGAGAACTATGTGTTATCCTAATTGCAAGTGGACATTTATTGATTAGCAACCGGCTTGCTTCAGTTCAGGGTGGTGGTAATTTTAGAGGCTCATTTTCTGGAAAACAGTAGCGATAATCAACATTCTTCCAGCTGGGTTGGGGAGTGAGGCAGTGCCAAGGGACTCCAAGCTTCTGGGAGAGGAGTAACACCTCTTTCTAGGATTACCCAACCTTGGAGAACTTTGGAGAATAAATCAGGGAATAAATTTTCTGGATGGAGAAAAACTCCTTTACTTTCTTGAAGAGGGGGAAGGGAAGTCAGCTAAACAAGTTTTGTTTTGTATCTTCCTCAGGAATGCAGAGATTAAGTTAGGGTACAAATGGAGAAGGGTAACATTTTTAAAAGTGCCTATCACAATATTTATTTCCTAACTCCCTTTATCCTTAAAAAGTAGACCTTCCAAGCTGAAGCTTCTGTCCAAGGAAAGTGAGATCAGAAGCAGCCCGTGGCTCTGTGCTTCAAAATCGCTTCTTAAAAGGTGTACGGCAGTGACGGCCTGGAAAAAACAGGCTTTCTGGCTTCCCAAAGTTTGATTTTAAATCTCAAGAGCTGATGCCTGGAGGTCTTGGAGCAATGCTCTTCGGAGTGAGGATGAACGTTCTGTGCATCCCCAGTTCTGGTGGGAGGGACTGAGGCAGAGCCCAGTCTCAGGGGGTTTAACTGGCCCTGCATAGCAGGTATGGTTTGGAACTGGGAGGCCAGTTTATTGGGGCCTGGAGCAGAGGTGTTGGGGCTTTGACAGTGAGGCCACTGGACCTAGGAACCTTGCGGAGGAGCCTCTTGTGCAGCCTGAGCCAGGATGGAGAGGGTAGACGGCCTGGGCGAAGAGCCCTGGGGGCAGCCTTGCGATGGGTTGGTGAATGGGTTGGCAGTGAATGTGGGGGTGGGTGTGCAGGCGGAGGGGACGTGCAGCGGGAGAGTGGGAGGAGCAGACAGCATTGCCAATATTCCCACACATAAGTAGAAAAGACAAAAGCTGGGATGTTGAAGATACAACCTGTGGGCCAGAGTAACAATAGCAGGACAGGGCACACAGAGGGACCTGCCCCAGGTCACTGCAGCAGAAGGGACAGGAAAAGGGGGAGTCTCTAAACCTAAAAGCAGCTAGATTTTTTTTTTAAGAGACTGACTCTCACTCTGTAGCCCAAGCTGGAGTGCAGTGGAGTGGCGTGATCTCAGGTCACTGCAACCTCTGCCTCTAGGCCCAAGCGATGTTTGTGCCTCAGCCTCTCCAGTAGCTGGGACTACAGGCATGTGCCACCATGCTGGCTAATTTTTTGTATTTCAGTAGAGACGGGGTCTCACCATGTTGCCCAGGGTGGTCTCGAACTCCTGAACTCAGGCAATCCTTGTGCTGGGAATACAGGCATGAGCCACTGTGCCCAGCCAAAAGCAGCTAAGTTTTATGTTTCTTTTTTTTTAATGCTTGATTTTGAGTATGCATACTTTTTCTATTTTTATTTTTAATTGATACATAATTATTGTACATATTTATGGGGAATGTGTGATATTTTGATATATAAGTACAGTGTGTAATGATCAAATCAGGGTAATCAGGATGCCCATCACCTCAAGCATTTATTGTTTCTTTATGTTGGGAACATTTGAAAGCCTCTCTTAGCTATTTTGGAGTATACAATAAATTGTTTTAACTATAGTCACCTTGCTGTGCTACTGAACACTAGAACTTTAGTTTTAATTTACTTGAATTGGCAAGTTTAAGTGATCGAAAGCATCAAAAGCTGTCAAGAACTAAATTAAATTCAATCATTCAAAAGAAGAAAATGACAATTTTGTGCACCTGAAGACCCAGTCTGTGGCTTGTCGTCCCCTTTATGCACGGTTTCTGAAAGTCCAAATATCTCCAACCCATAATATCTAATACATTAGTATGATTGTAACTTGGTAAGAAAAAAGCAAGCATGCACGAAGACCAGAAAGAAATGAAGGGAAAAGGTTAGCAATGATTCTCTTTCATGGTGGAACTATGGGTATTTTCCATCTTGTATTTTCCTTTATTTTCTAATTTTTCCAAGTTAATTGGTATTAATGTATTAATTTTCTTTTGATACAAGGTCTCACTCTGTCGCCCAAGCCAGAGTGCAATGGTTCAATTGACCTCCTGGGCTCAAGTGATCCTCCCACCTCCCTCCTGTGGTCCTGAGTGCAGCTGGGACTATAGGCATGTGCCACCATACCCGGGTAATATTTGTATTTCTTGTAGAGATGAGGTCTTTCCATGTTGCCCAGGCTGGTCTTAATCTCCTGAGCACAAGTGATCTGCCTTCCTTGGCCTCCTAAAGTGCCAGGACTACAGGTGTGAGCCACTGTGCGCAGCCATAATTTATTTTTAAAACAAAAGTAACACCTGTGCACAGCAGAAAATTCTAATTTCAAAAGTTGAAGGTACAAAAGAACTAAAAATGCAAAAGTCCTCTCTCCCTAAAGGTATCCATTGTCAATAATTTCTTGTGATTCCTTCTAGGAATAAATGTATATGTGCATTTCCTGAATGAAGCATGTATTACTTTTTAAGTGGAAGAAAAAAACACCATTCATTTTTTTAAAAAAATAAACGGAAACACGGCATCTGAAGGTTTTAGGCTAATTACCATCTAATAAAAGATGTTCCTTTTGGTAGTTAAGAAAATACTTCCTTAGTCTCAAGACACTCATATGTTTTACATGAATTGGGGGTAAGAAGATGAGAACTAAAAAGTCATTCAAGAAAACTTTTCTGCAAAAAAGAAAATGCATAATAAACAGCTCCTTTTAGAATTCACATGCAAAAGTGTAGATGGTAGGTTTTCATTTTCTTCTATTTTTTAAAAATCAATTGTGCTATCTTAAAGAAAAAAACAAATAAGCATACTGAGGGAAAAAAGCCATACTACAACATAGATCAGATAGTAGGGACATGGGGTGGAGAGGAGCCGAGGCCAGTGCCCCCAGGCAGGCATTCCAGAGGTGCCGGTCAAATTCCCAGGGCGCTGCAAGGAAGGTTCTGAAATGCAGCTGTGGCAATTAGGAAGGTGCACTGGGCTGGGACCACTAAGAGGGTCATTAATCATGAAGATGAGGCTCTGACGGGTAAGGGAACAAGACAAAGGTTTAGGATTGGCTGTGAGAGCTTGGAAGGCAGACTCTAAAGAGACGTTGCCTCACAATGCCTTCAGGTTGGACTTGGGAAGAAAAGTGATTGATGCATCTCCTCTCCCCTGGCCTATTCTGCCTGCCCTCTGTGATGTGTTGTACACAACATAGGCTTAGACTGTGAATTATTTTTATGGTCATGTGTATTTGCTGGGCAGTAGGTTTTGGAAAAAAACGAAACAAAACAAGAGTTGAAATTAAGAGAAAAATGGAAAGGAGAGTATTAAGGCAATTTGGCTAATACAGCCAAGCCAAGAGAAATCATTTGGGTTTTATGAGAATGCAGGGAAGTGGGATACCTATCCTGACCGCTGCACGGAGGTACACAAAAGTCAGGAACTCAGATACAACGTACCATCTTGGACACCCCAAACGTTTCTATTGTGTTGAGGTAGAAAGTGAAATGAAACGCTGACAGACAGCCTCCATTATGAAAAATGCTGCGTTACGTTTCAAGTACTTGCCAGGCACTCAGTAGCTCTTTTGTGGAGCGAAAAGTAGCGCAAGATGCTCTCCCTCCCACATTAATGGAAACTAAGCACTTGAGTGCTATAAAAAATATTAATTCAAAGGAGTCTGATTGCATTTATTCTTATCATTAAACCCTTGCATAATAGACATATGATGACCATATATTAGAAAATTTGTAATATTTAAATGACACATGAAATGACTACTTATTAAATTATTAAAACAAAGAATAGTATAATACATACTCTCTCCCATAATATTTTGGTCTGTTTTCCACCTATAGTAAAAAGAAAACAAAATTAATAATGCATTTGAATTCAAATCAGCGAGATAAAAATGCTACTCAAATAAACAGAACTAGGGTCCTGGTAGTAATTTTATTGCAGATGATATCCTCCAAATCAGAGATCCATGAAGCTATGGAGTTATAATCAGCACATTCCAGCATCAGGTAGGAATGATCTAGAATCACCACATTTCTGCAATCATTAGGCTCACTTCCCACCCAAACCCAATCATCCAATAAGAGAATTTTCAACAAAAACAAAGCGATGCTTATTTTAATATTAAGGAATTTGTAAGGGTATTATAAGGCTTCATCCTGAATGATAAAACAACTACTTCTGTCATGAATAAAACATAAGCATTTATTTCACTCTGTGACTAATTGTTTTTATTATGTATTTATAATTAAAACAAGGAGTCTACCTGGATTAAAAAATAAAGCAGACTTAACTCAATCACGTTCCAAATAAAGTCAATATTCTAACATTCTTATTTTTTCAACATGTGGCTAATGAGCTGAAATTCATTTGACACCAGAGGTGCAGGCTACATAGGACAAGATTTATGACTTGACTAAAACACAAACATTCCAGAAAGATCTTTCAATCACAGCTTTAGCCTTGAGGTTATCACATTCGATTTTTCTCACATACATGATCATCTGCTTTCATAAGAGCTTTGTGTTCGCATGTTTATGATGTTGGAGTTGGTGAGAAAGTGACATGATTTCTCATGCTCAGCCTTTGTTCTTCTCCCCTAACTCCAGGGACACCCAAAACATAGGAGAGCCACATTAAGTTATGGGTTTTTATGAATGGTTATATGTATGACAGCAAGTTTATGTTTATTCACTGTTGTAGGATATGAGCTTGGCAGCTGTTTTATTCACAGTCATTTCTTCCTATAGTCAAATGAACAGTTTTCACAGCAGGGCTCAGGGACAGGCACAGTAGCAGGATTTCATGATACGGGGCAGTTTCCTGGCCTAGCTCCATCCTCCAAAGGATGCAAATCTGAATAGGTAGCAGGACACTAGGAGCTTGGGGAAAAGGCTCAGAAAGGCGGACTGGGGCTTTGGGGACCACACTCACAATGCTGCCTAGGATAAGCCTCGCTGGTACAAAACTTACCATCTAGACATTTCTAAATATGTGTTCACTCTTCTGTGCATTTTACACCTGAAAATTACTCAACCAAGCAGGACATTCATAACTTAATCCTCAAGGTTAAAAGCCTGCTAGGTGTCATTTGTGAAGGAAGATTTAAATAATATCGTTAATAGAAGCAATATATCCAGGTGTAAAAAGGCACCTGGTTATCTGATATCCTTTCTATAAATTATGTGTGCCATTATTCTACAGGCTGGTAAGCTTTTTAATGAGAATTGAATATGTTGTCATTTATATCATTCTTTTGGCTTTCAAAGTTCTTTTTTAGTTTTATAATATTATAGATATATGACTGTAAACCAACATGACAGAGAAGAAATTTAGGACTAGAAAAGTCAATGAAAGTCAATGATACATAATGGCAAAATCTCTATTCTTTGAGAGGTGATATTCCAAAATTTGAAGTGATTCTCCATATATGAGGACAATTTTTAAATTTCCATCTTTTTGGCTGAACCATAGCACAAGTCTGCAAAATCTGGGTATAGCTCTCAACCCTATTCCCTTCCTGTATCTTATTTCCCTAAAAGAGAAAGAGTTACTAACTTCCCAGATGAGCCACATGGTAATACTACTAACTCTTGGCATGCAGGTAAACAGTTAATAAATGCTGAATTTAATTGATTCTTAACAAGACAACAAATTACTTTCAGTTCATCAACCAATCATAAAAATATATAGCACCCCTATGTTCTGGGCTCTATGCTCAGGCCAGCCATTGTACATGAAATAATGACCTTGCAGGTGTAGAGAGGAAAGGCATGAGGTACTCAGGGGTGCTCTGCACTTGCAGCAGAGGGAAATGCTTAAGGAGAAATCTAACATAGACCCCCAAAGAGGGAAGCTGATATTTACGGTGCCTTGAAAGATGCCAAATAAGATTCTGCCCGAAAGAGAGTTTGATCCAACTGAGAGACAAATCTTCTGAAAATGAAAACCACTAGAAAATAAAAGAAGAGCCCTGAATTGTGTGGGACAGGCATGGAAGAGGGCCATGGAATAGGTCCCAAATATTGCATGAGATACATACTAATATATGATTCCTTGCATATCTGAAATTTAAATTTAACTAGGCATCCTGGTCCCTCCTTCCCTCTCTCCCTTCCTCTCCTCTTCTCCCTTCCTCCCTTCTTCCCTCCCTTCCCCACTCTTCCCTTCCCCTCCCCTCCCCTCCCCACTCACTTTCCCTCCCCTTTCCTCCCTCCCTCCCTCCCTCTCTCCTTCTCTCCCCACTATCTCTTTCTTTCTTTCTTTCCTAAATCTAGCAACCCTATGTAGGGGACAGGAAAGACAGACGTAAGAAAGAGTAAAGATAGAGGATGTGGTTGGCCATCTGATCACTGCTTCTACTGGTTGGGGGCCGTTTTGACAGCAATCCAATCTCTCCTTCCTTTTTTGTCCCTGAAACTCTTAAAGAAAATATATGTGTCCCTGTTAATGTCAAAGAGAAAGAGAGGCTGGGATCAAAAAAACAAAATCCTCTTCTTTTTATAAACTTTTTACTCACAGGAGTCTAAACACAGTCTCTATTTCTCTACTTCACTAAGCTTTAAACCAGTCCAGAGCTTAATGTTTAAGTTAAATGATGCTATACAAATCATTCAATGTCCACATTTCTTCAAGGTGGATAATACTGGATCCTCAGATCCAGACAGAACAGGTGGCTGGGGGCTAGGGTTTCCAGAGACAAAGCTCTGCCAAGAGACTAGGAACCTCTGTGTTGTGCCCCCAGCAGTGCCTTAGAGAAGCCTGACTCACTCCCTGGCAAGGCTCCGTGTCAGCCATCAGTAGAAACCAGGACCCACCTGTGAAACTGAATTTAATAAAATAAACTGTAGCTCTCAATTTCTGTTTCCAATTGTATGAGATTCTCTTCAATATGTGTGAACGCAATAAGATAGCTGATAAATAAAAAGTAAGGCAACTTAGAAGTTCTTGCATTCTCATTGAAAACTATGTTCAAATCAGGTAACTTAATCAAAAAATTGGGGGGGCGGAGCAAGATGGCCGAATAGGAGCAGCTCCAGTCTCCAACTCCCAGCGCGAGCGACACAGAAGACCGGTGATTTCTGCATTTTCAACTGAGGTACTGGGTTCATCTCACTGGGGAGTGCCGGACGATCGGTGCTGGTCAGCTGCTGCAGCCCGACCAGCGAGAGCTGAAGCAGGGCGAGGCATTGCCTCACCTGGGAAGCGCAAGGGGGAAGGGAGGCCCTTTTCCCAGCCAGGGGAACTGAGACACACAACACCTGGAAAATCGGGTAACTCCCACCCCAATACTGCGCTTTAGGAAACAGGCACACCAGGAGATCATATCCCACACCTGGCCGGGAGGGTCCCACACCCACGGAGCCTCCCTCATTGCTAGAACAGCAGTCTGTGATCTACCGGCAAGGCAGCAGCGAGGCTGGGGGAGGGGCGCCCGCCATTGCTGAGGCTTAAGTAGGTAAACAAAGCTGCTGGGAAGCTCGAACTGGGTGGAGCTCACAGCAGCTCAAGGAAACCTGCCTGTCTCTGTAGACTCCACCTCTGGGGACAGGGCACAGTAAACTAAGACACACAGACACTTCTGCACAGACGCAAACGACTCTGTCTGACAGCTTTGAAGAGAGCAGTGGATCTCCCAACACGGAGGTTGAGATCTGAGAAGGGACAGACTCCCTGCTCAAGTGGGTCCCTGACCCCTGAGTAGCCTAACTGGGAGACATCCCCCACTAGGGGCAGTCTGACACCCCACACCTCACAGGGAGGAGTACACCCCTGAGAGGAAGCTTCCAAAGCAAGAATCAGACAGGTACACTCGCTGTTCAGAAATATTCTATCTTCTGCAGCCTCTGCTGCTGATACCCAGGCAAACAGGGTCTGGAGTGGACCTCAAGCAATCTCCAACAGACCTACAGCTGAGGGTCCTGACTGTTAGAAGGAAAACTATCAAACAGGAAGGACACCTACACCAAAACCCCATCAGTACATCACCATCATCAAAGACCAGAGGCAGATAAAACCACAAAGATGGGGAAAAAGCAGGGCAGAAAAGCTGGAAATTCCAAAATAAGAGCGCATCTCCCCCGGCAAAGGAGCGCAGCTCATCGCCAGCAACGGATCAAAGCTGGACGGAGAATGACTTTGACGAGATGAGAGAAGAAGGCTTCAGTCCATCAAATTTCTCAGAGCTAAAGGAGGAATTACGTACCCAGCGCAAAGAAACTAAAAATCTTGAAAAAAAAGTGGAAGAATTGATGGCTAGAGTAATTAATGCAGAGAAGGTCCTAAACGAAATGAAAGAGATGAAAACCATGACACGAGAAATACGTGACAAATGCACAAGCTTCAGTAACCGACTCGATCAACTGGAAGAAAGAGTATCAGCGATTGAGGATCAAATGAATGAAATGAAGCGAGAAGAGAAACCAAAAGAAAAAAGAAGAAAAAGAAATGAACAAAGCCTGCAAGAAGTATGGGATTATGTAAAAAGACCAAATCTACGTCTGATTGGGGTGCCTGAAAGTGAGGGGGAAAATGGAACCAAGTTGGAAAACACTCTTCAGGATATCATCCAGGAGAACTTCCCCAACCTAGTAGGGCAGGCCAACATTCAAATCCAGGAAATACAGAGAACGCCACAAAGATACTCCTCGAGAAGAGCAACTCCAAGACACATAATTGCCAGATTCACCAAAGTTGAAATGAAGGAAAAAATCTTAAGGGCAGCCAGAGAGAAAGGTCGGGTTACCCACAAAGGGAAGCCCATCAGACTAACAGCAGATCTCTCGGCAGAAACTCTACAAGCCAGAAGAGAGTGGGGGCCAATATTCAACATTCT